TTCTGCTTTCATTTTGAAGTTATTTTGTTGGAAAAGATGCAGGTCAGTTCTGGAAAGAAGTTCCAGTGAAAATGCTGTCAAATGATGTTTGTCATCATTACTAGAGCCCCCAGTGTTTTCCTCTGAGTTGGGGGAGGGATTAAGCATTTACATTTACCACCCCCCCCATAAAATCTCTTAATTTTTCGAATCTCACAAGAATGTCCAGGTTAATGAATTATGATGCAGTGATTATCTTACTGTGCCAACAACGAATGCTTCAGGCAGAAAAAGCGGGCCAGTTGGAAAGAAGGGCGCCTTTGTTTACCCAAATGTGTTTTTAATTATAGTATTAACAAAGATAAAGCAAAATGAGGGAAGCACAAAATAATCACATGGGAGTCTAACTAAAATAAACATTCTATTTACTTACTCTAAACCTATTGTTTCTCCAAACATCTTTTTTGCCTCTTTACTAGTATTTCATTAAGAAACACCAAATTACATATGGTTTTGCTTTACCCACCAAATAACTGTGTAGGCAAAAAAATTACCAAATATAAAATAAGTCATGTTGGTATTTAAAGATTAAAATGAAGCCACAGCTGATCAAAGAGATTCATTTGTTGATATTTGTTCATCACTATGAATATTTCAAATCTTATGTAGTCAAACATGATTCATTACTGTTTTCCGGGAAGTGATAACATCTCCTCCAGTGTCATTAACAATGTTAATCTTGGTCAAGGTTCCCTGCATTAAAAATGTATAAAAGCAAAATGTTGCTATGGTAACTTTTCTAGATCAATGATTCCTGGCCCTTAGGGTTGCAAGATCTTATTTGTATAGCGTCATGAACAAGCTGTTCCGCACCTACAGGAATACAAGTATACATACATACAAGCATGCCATATTCTCCCCTCCCCTTTCACGGAGGATTTTGGTAAAAAGCACATAACACTAAAACAAACATACATGAAATGAGTTCCATAATGAGCGAAGCTGTTTGTGCCTCTAAAGCTTCTTATGCATTTACGTATGGGCCACTTGTGTGCTTTATCTGGGTGATCAAATTCCTAATACTCCCATGTACACTTCCATGGAGGCATTCTGCTTTTAGTTCCTATCCTGTTGCCTCTGCTAGACCAATGTGTTCATCAGAGATGCTTCAGTTGCAAGCAACAGACATGCCCTGAGCTAAAGGAGACAGAGAGGGGACATTTACTGGAAGCACACAGGAGTTTCACAGCCGGGAAGGACAGGATAGCCCCCAGGAAGGCCTAGAACCAGACAGGAGGGCTTTCAAGGCCAAGTACAGCCGCTCTCCAAGACCTCATGCATGCTCCTCCTCTACGCCTCATTGTTTTTCCCTTCTTTCCCCAGACCAGCTGTTGGTGCGGATGGGCAAAATGGGGCCACTTCAAATGCCCTCTCTGCCCCCGGTCTGCATGCTAATTCCACATTTGTAAACTGTTACTTTAGGGGTGGGAAGAAGGGGGCAATTAGCCTTCCATTTCCAGAAGGAGGCATGTAGAGGACTTAGGGGTGAGATGGAGGGAAGACCCAGATTTGAGGAATATTTTTGAAGTAAGTATTTATGATACCTGGAGCCTCCAAGATGAGGAAATAAAGCACACCTACATGTTGTTACTTACCTCATTTCTTTTTCTACACCAATGTAGAAAACTAGCCAACTAGCCAGTCTTTTTGAAATCTGTTAGGGGAAATAATTTTGTCGATCTCAAGTCTTATTGGGAAATGGAAGGGTACAAATTTTTTTTTTTTTTTTTAAGATTTTACTTACTTATTTTTGTGAGAGAGAGAGGGAGAGAGAAGGAGAGCACAAGCGGGAAGGGGCAGAGGGAGAACAGGCTCCCCACTGAGCAAGGAGCCTTGTGTGGGACTCAATCCCAGGACTCTGGGATTACGACCTGAGCTGAAAGCAGATGCTTAACCCACTGAGCCACCCAGGTGCCTAAGGGTACAAATTATTAATGAATAAACAAACAAATCTATATGGATCCTCTCCAGTATATCAGAGTGTTAGCTGAGGACAACAGTGAAGCCAAAAACATCCACTCACAGTCTGTGACACTCACAGAAGAGTTAGGAAGAGTGGGAGGTGCTAAGCGAAATAAGTCAGTCAGAGACAAATACCATATGATTTCACTCATGTGTGGAATTTAAGAAACAAAACAAACGAAGAAAGTAGGAAAGAGAGAGAGAGAGAGAGACTAAGAAACAGCCTCTTAACTGTAGGGAATAAACTGACGGTTGGTTACCAGAGGGGAGGTGGGTGGAGGGATGAAGGAAATAGGTGAAGGGGATTGGGGCGGCGGGGTGCACTTGACATGAGTACCAGGTGTTGTATGGAAGTGTTGACTCACTAAATTGTACACCTGAAACTAACATTATGCTGTATGTTAACTAACTGGAACTTAAATAAAAACTTTAAAAATGAAAGACAAGTGCGAGGGGCTGGGAGAAGCAGCAACCCCCCTAGCTTTCTTGGGAAGTGGGCAAAGCACAGGAAGGAGAGAACAGGCCCAAAAGGGTAGACTTGCTTTTACTGAGCACAATAGCAGGGACTGTGAGGGACAGCCTGGGGACCCCCCCCCCTTTTTTTTTTTACAGGTGGCATTCTAAAAGCCTAGAGGGCCCAGAGAAATCAAATTTTTATTGTGTTTTCCAGTTTAACAGTCTATGGCAAATCTTGGAAGTCTTAATAGCCTGTGGCAAAATTGGAAGATGAGATTCTGGTCTTGTAAGATTTACTGCCTGCATTTCATCTGGGAAAGAATAAAAGGCCTGGAAGAGCAAGTTAAGGCAGAAGAAGGGAGTACTCCAGCTCTGTTTCCATGAGGCCAACCCAACTTTTCACCCATGCTTTGCAGTGACAGGAAATGTGTTAAATATGGGATTTGCAAATTGAACCAGGGGCCCCATAGTTGTTGTCAATCCCTGCTGTGTAGGCTGGGGAGCTAGCATTGAGCACAATAAAGCAGTAAAAATGGTTGAGCTCCCCATCCCACAGGCCTCCCCTTATGCTAATGCTTCCCCTGTCTGCCCCTTCCACCCCTTTCCAAAACCTTCCAGAAAGGATTACAGTCATCAGCAGCTTAGTGTGAATAGATGTTATCTCTTCAGAGGATATTTTCTTTTTAACCTTATCTCTAATTGAAGGTTTCCCAGACTGTTAAAGGAATTTGAAGAAGAGTATACTTAAGAATTTGTAGCAGTTCTTTCTTTTCTCAAATACTGGTCAAGCCCTAGTAAAATCAACTTAGCTCAATCCACGGTTGCGTTTCAACGGGGCACGCTGGTTCTCGTTCTATTGCAACCTTGGAAGTGCTTGGCCAGTGTCTGAGCCCACCTTCACCCTGTTCCAGTGCCCCCTGCCCTCTTGCTCCTCCTTGGGACCTCCTGGAGCTCCCAGGATCCAGAAATTAGAGGGCAGTTGGGGCCTCCTGGGGTCCTGTGTTCCAACCCCACAGGCAGCATCTGGTCTGAAAGGCTGAGAAATACTTTGAGCATCGCTCTTGTTTCTACCTCTTGTTTCTACACTCTTGTTTTCACTCTTTATAGTACAAATTAAGGCACCTCCCTAACCCCCCAAATCAACAACCATCACATTGTAAGGGCCTGCTTAGCCAGAGCGATTTCATATCATTAAACAGTGATTTTGTTGTTCATGCAGTAAAACTTAAACTGACCCTGCCCCCCACCAGGGGAACTTACTTAAAAGCAAGTCCGGGAAACCAGTGAAATACAGTCGACCAGTCCCTGATAACAGAGCCCAAATACAAGGGCGGGTCAGGTCAGGTGGAGATAACAGAGCCGGAACGCAGGGATGAGTCGGGCCAGGTGGAGACCTCCAATCAGTGGGGCGCGCAAACTGTCTCCCTGGCTACCAAGGAGTGTGGGCTCCACCTTTTGGGCACCTTCTGGGTACCAATTCTGACCAAGGTGATAGGCTAGTTCAAATAGCTACTATGGGGTGAATTGTAATTCAACTGACCACCCCTGTGTGACCTAGCATGACTGCGCAGATTTCTCTGTGTGTTACAATCTCATTGGCCACCTGTGTGTGGCCAGGCTCAACCACATGGCCTTTGCTCTATTAAAGTTAGTCTGTGAGGCTGGGGGTCGCTTGCTCTCTCTGTAAGAGGCGGCCCTGACCAGTCGGTTTGATTCTCAATGCTTGGCGTGAAATAAAGCTTTGCTTGACCTTCCCTTTGTATCAGTCTCGCTCCTTTGATCACGGACCTAACAACATCAAACTGAAATTTCTCCCAAAACCTATTTCTCCAGCTACCTTCAAACAACAGTTGAAGACAAAGTATTGCAGAATAGGTTAACTCTGGGGAAACATGGCTGTAGAGGAAAAAAGATAACCAGACCTGTGGTTCTTAAATGTTGGTGTGCCTAAGAATCACCTGGAGAACATGCTTAAAATGCTAATTTCTAGGTTTTATCTTCAGAAATTCTGATTCTATAGATCTGGGATGATTCAGGAATCTGTATCTGTGGGACACCTGGGTGGCTCAGTGGGTTAGGTGTCTGCCTTCGGCTCAGGTTGTGATCCCAGGGTCCTGGGATTGAGCCCCACATTGGGCTTCCTACTCGAGAGACGGAGAGCCTGCTTCTCCGTTTGCCTGCAGCTCCCCCTGCTTGTGCTCTCTCTCTGGCAAGTGAATGAATGCAGACATGCATGTATGGAATCTGTTTCTGTAACTTGCATTCCAGGTGAATTTGGCCCAAAGGTTGCCCAAATGACACCTCACTAATGCTGAGCTCAGGTGTTGCCATGAACAAAACATAGCTGCCTTGGGGTAGGACATCTTTTCTTCACCAGAAGCATAACTTACCAGGATTTTACAGGCATTTGCCTTCCTTCAGTTCCTTCAACTTTAACTCCAGATGCTCATGATACAAGAATTCTTGACACAGTTTCATTGACTGGTGCTCCATGCTTCCTGGTCGCCTACAAACATCCTCTCTTCTCTGTTTTGAAATTCCAGAGTCTGTCATCCCAAGTAGTGGGACATTTCATGTGAAGCTCCCTAAGAAGCACAGTGTGGAACTTGGAATAACCATAAGTTGTAAGTAAATGTGACTCCCTTTAAAATGTAGAGTTTTAAAAAGACATTAGAAAATGGTGTTGTTGAATGACTTAGAGGTTGACAGAAGTTTCTGAAGTGTCATTGACAAGTTTCTAATTCACATTACACATGTGCGGAGCCTCTCCCCCTCCCTCCCTTAACTAGCTGTGTGAATAGGGCAAGTGACTTAAATTCCCTCCAATCTTAGGTTTCTTCATCTGTAAAATGGAAATAAGGCTATCTACAAGATATAGGATTATTTGAAGTGTGAAATAAAAGAACATATTGTTTATACCTAGTCTAGTCCAAGGCAGGTAATGAGGACTCAATAAATGTGTCTCACCATTTATCCAATCATCTAACCATGAATGATTAGATGAGCGTAGAAGTGCATATACGTTCTCTACATTTTAGTATATTGTGGGTTAAGTTTTCACAATAATCTGTTTAACTAATAAAAATCACGCTTATTTCAAGACAATGCTCCTGTCTGTCCACTATGCATCTAAAAGCTATTTTGCAAGACTAAAAATAATCTCTCTTTATTTAGTAACTTTTGGAATTCCTGCATGGTCCAAGACGTCTGGGTAACCAAACCAAAAAGAAAAGCAGAACATATAAATGTGTTAAATTCCCTCCTTTCCTCGAGCTCTAGATTTATAACTGTTTTGGTAAAACAGCTTTGAGAAACATTTATAGAATGTGAATTGAAGTTTTTATGCTTTTACTATCCATAAACTGAGTTTGTCCACAAATACCCCCAAGAAAATGAAGCAAATGATTAATGCGTAAACACCAAAGAAGCAGTGTTTGTGACCAAGGAGTGGTCCCTTCAAGAAAGAGCGATGAGCTCACGTGAAGTGCCTCATTACACACTATTGGATCCCACTTATGTCAGGGGTCAAGGCAAAAATAGTTCGCAGCTGGGCTGGTATGAAATGGGGGCCGTCCACTTCAACTTTGACAATATCAGTGTAACACTGAAAATGAAATTTGGGGTATAACCAACACATCAGACAGATCTAGTGCAGCCAAGAAAATAGTGGAACTACAATACAGAATAAATGTAAAGAGCAAGAAGCCACATGCACGAGAGAGTGCTCGCACCCACGTCCTGAACCCCTGTACGGCCTCCTGAGAGAAGAGGAGGACTGATGTGTCTCCATGTCTTCTCCACTAAGCAGAAAGATGAGATGGGGTTTTGGAGACTCCAGACCTATTCTAGGTACAACTGAAGTCATTTGTGCCTTTAATCGGATCACTGAGCCTCTCAATTTTTTCATTCTGGAACAAAGAGAGTATGCCATTGTTCTGTCAACAGCGGTGGTTACTGAAATAAAGGGAGAGCTCATCAGAACATACTATTCTAAAAATATTTGGGACTCAGGGTGGCTGCCGAAACCCCCACGTTACTTTAAGACTGCTTTCATTTATTCTATTTATTCCACTCCATTGATTGATTCCGTCAGTACTGGCTGCGAAAGCAGTCTCCTTCCGAGGAGTGTATAACCGTCCGGCTGCGTACAGGTGTCCTGCCTTCCATTCTATTCTTTCTTCCCTTCGCTTGCGTGAAATAAATGCGTTCCGAGTGCCTAGGATGCCTAGAACCTATGCTAAGTTTTGAAAACACACTCCCTGTCCTTAGAGATACTTACGGCTAGTGAGTCCGCTGGAGACACCCACAGCTGGGAAGCCTATTGCCACATAATCGTTTTCCTTCCAAATTTTAATTGGGAAAATGGTCTTTTTTTAAAAAAAAATAGATTTATTCTTAAAAATTGATATATGTAAGGGGAGGAGGGTAGGTAGATGGATAAAATGGGTGAAGGGGAGAGGGAGGTACAGCTTCGGTTATGGAATGAATAAGTCACAGGAATCACAGGAATAAAAGGGACAGCACGGAGAATGGAGTCAGTGGTGTTGTAAGAGCATTGCATGGTGACAGGTGATAGCTACACGCTGGTGAGCCTAGCGTAGCATGTAGACTTGTCGAATTGCTATGTTTTACACCTGACACCAATGTAATATTGTGTGTCCACTAACTTCAATTAAAGAAAAAATTGACATACATAAAAATACAACTATAAAGGAGAGTCCCCATTCAAAAACTGATCCTGTGATGTATTCCTCTTTTAAAGTCAATATTTAGATGCTCCATTTGTTTGAAGTATATTCATGTATACACAAACACAACATACTTTATTCATATGAAGAATCCTCTAAAATTATGCTTTATGGTGGTTTTGTGTGTGAACTAAGTATGACATTTAATGCCAACAATAGAAACTTCCCCAAAACCCTCACAAGAATGGCCTGACTTCAACCAGCATAAACTAAAGCTATTCGTGGAAGCTGGAAGTGTTCTGCCGTCTCTGGATGGAGGAATGATACATAAGCTTGTCAAATCCGTTTGTCAGCCCATCCAGACCTATAGCTCCCTTTATACAACTTACCATCACCATGCTGAATTTGTGTCTCCTCATGGAAAATACTAATATTTTCCCAATTGAGAAAACAGAATTTACTTTAAAAGGAAAAAAAAAGGCCAGAATCCAATTATATTGTTATGAAATGAACTCCTGAGGCCTAGTGTGGTTCCTGGCATATACAAGGTGCTTATTTAATTCCTGTCTTTGTGGAATGAATGAATAAGGAGTCTATCAAAAATAATCTGCTGCTTACAATCTTCTACTAACCACTGTGCATTCCAGAAAATGAGCCTTTGAAGGTGATGATGAATACAGATGTTTATGCAAAGGCCCTTAGGTGAACTAAAGAAGCACTAACTTGGAAAATGATTAAGAGCAAGACCTCAGAGGCGCCTGGGAGGCTCAGTCCATTAAGCGGTTGCCTTTGGCTCAGGTCATGATCCCAGGGTCCTGGGATCGAGCCCCCCTTCCAGCTCTCTGCTCAGCAGCAGGGGAGTCTGCTTCTCCCTCTCTCTCTGCCTGCCTCTCTGCCTACTTGTGATCTCTGCCAAATAAATAAATAAAATCTTAAAAAAAAAAAAAAGAGCAAGGCCTCAGAGCACACACTTCTCCACTCCTTGACCCTCTTGACCTCTCTGTACCATTTCCTTGTCTATAAAACAGTGCACTTGTTCCCTTCTTCGTAGCATTGTTGAGAAGATTATATGAGCTAGTATATGTAAAGTGCCTAGACCAGTTATGAGCCCTAACCACGTGTTCATTATTATGATGACTACTATTTATTTTACATATAGAGCTTCCTGAAATAGCTTAATCCAAGCTCTACCCCCACAAAATTTCACGCCAACTGCACCTCTAGCACTTAGGGAGGAAAGCAAGGGACCCTCTTCTCCAACACCCAGGTACCGTTAGCGAAACTGAGGCCTGCAAGGGTCTAACTGATGTGTCCCACTCCCTGTGCAAAGCCCTCTTCTGTCTCCTTCACCCTGTGAGAACCTGAGTAGTAAGACGCAGCCTTCATCCCGGGAAACGTTCTGCCAGAGCCTCGCACGCTTGGCTGAAGCCTCACTCATTCTTCATACCTAATTGACTGAGAAATGAGTCTCTCTGATGTGGGATGTGGTGAGCAGTTTTAGACTAATTTTCTCAAGTTCCTGATGAGACATTCATAGCACATTAGCATCAGCCATGACTTTTATTGATGTTATTGCTATAATGTGGAGCAATTTATTCTAGCAAATAAAGTGAAACGGCCTCGTGCTGGAAACGGCGTCCTAAAGCTCTAAGACCTCAGCCAGTGGGAAACCAGAGCGCATGCCCAGCCGCGCAGTGCCCCCCACCCACCCACCCTCACCACAGACTACGCCCCTTAACTCTGTCATGCGCAGTTGTCAGTAAAGTCCTTTTGATATTGTTTTCTTTTTGCTGTTTTACTACAAGGATTTGTATCTACTTTGTGGCAGGCATGACCATAAGCAGTTTGTGTGTTTCCCACTTATTCCTTAGAGCGGCCCTGTGGATCTATACACATTTTATAGAAAAGAAAGGCTGCGCTGGGTAACCTGCCCAGGCCCCAGAGCTCATAAAGGCTGCATGGGTTTCAAACCCATTCTGTCTGACCTAACGTGGGTTTTGCTGTCCCGCCAGTGCTCATCACTGCCTCTACATGATTGATGACCTTTCCCACATCTTTTATCAGAAAAGCAAAAGACAGCATTTTATGAGTGGAGTTAATTTGTTGGCTTTCCTTTTTAGTTTTGACGGAATTGTTTTTCAGGAACAAAGGCTTGCTTTTTTTTTTTTTTTTTTGTATAAAATCATAAAGCAGCCTTTATGACAAGCACAACAAATCTGTCATTTTTTGCCTTAAGTCTTAAGCGTATTTAGAAGAGAATGGCTCAAGTTTTTTGCCAACTTTGCAATAAAAATTCTACTCACTGCTCCATTTCAAATCAAATAACTTGTTTTACTTGCCAAGTATCATATATACGGTTACAAGTAAAGCAAAACTGAATGACTCTGTGTGTGTGTGTGTGTGTGTATCCAGTATAGTTTGGACACTTTATCAGGCCCTTTGATCAAAGTACCCTGACTAGTAGAGTAAGATCCATGAATGGCTAGATATTATCGAATGTTCTTGGAATACTTTGTTGATTCAAGTTTAATTATTACAAAATCCAGAAGATCTTACCTGTCTTCTAATACAAAGTTTTTAAAGCAAAAGATAGAGAATGTCACTTTCCACCTTTCCAACAATTATTTGAGAAGCAAAGAATCCATGTTCACTTTAAGAATCAGTTTCTGATAGTGAAAGAGGACTAATGCTTTTTTTTTTTAAAGAATTAATTTATTTGTCAGAGAGAGCGCAGGCAGGCAGAGTGGCAGGCAGAGGCAGAAAGAGAAGCAGCTCCCCACTGAGCATGGAGCCTGACGCAGGACTCAATCCCAGGACCCTGGGATCATGACCCAAGCGAAAGGCAGCGGTTTACCGACTGAGCCACCCGGGAGTCCCTGGACTAATGTTTTTAAACTTCAGGGTCAAAAGATGATAGCTTGAACCCTGGCATTTAG